AAAGTGTACCATTTATGTGCCGAATAAATTATATGCCGCTTTATAGCCGAAGATAAAAGTTATATAATTTTGATTAGTCGAATTATATACTTTTTTGACAAATGATTGACAAGTGGCATTATGCCGAATAAATCCATTTTGACTAGTGTAATATTAATATATATATAATGTAATATAAAAAAAACCAGAATTATATATTTAATTATAATTTAATAATTAATTAATCAATTATATAAAATTTTACAAATAAGTTTTTTAATATCTTAACAATGAGCTTGTTATAAGTTATATATATATTGTAAATATAATAATTTTTTTTTTATATATATGTTTTATAATAAAAAACTGTTTGAAAAATAATTAAAAAATATATTTAAAATTAAAAAAAAATTTTTTTATATTCTTAAATATTATAAATATCTTTATATAAAATTATTTTATTAATTAATTTAATAATAATAATAATAATAATGATTTTTCAAAAATTACAATAAAAAAATATTTTTTTGATTACTTTTTTAAAAAAGACATTGATTTTATATTTAAAATTAGCTTTAAAGTAATATTAAAATTAACAAAAAATTATATGGTTTTTTTTATTTTTATCTTAAAAATAAATTATAACATTTAAATAATTCTATATTAATTTATTAATAAAAATATAGGGTTAAAAAAATTCTGTTTTTTTTTTTTTGCACCACACTGTATATACTATTATTATTATATTATTACATTCTTAATCAAAAATTAATAAACAATTACAATATAAAATAATAATAATAAAATTTGTATTATATACAGTACAAAAAACAATAATATTGGTGACATACTACATGTCGAACAAATATGTAAGTTAACCACATGATGTACACAAAAGAAAGTATAAATACCACTCCCACCACAATTACAAATTTTTTTTTAGGTCAGGTATAAAAACTCTTTCTCACTATAAAAAAAACAGAGTAACGTCACCAAAAGACTGAACATAAAACGATAGCCAATTGTCGCTATGACTCACTATTATGAACTTTACCGTAGGAGCAGGTCCGTACGTGTGCCTTCTCACGCACACCTTGTTTTACCTCCATCGTTTTGTAATTCGTGAAGACAAACCACACTTTTTGTTTTTCGATCAGAATTTTAAGTGTTCTTTCTTTTTTCAAAAAAGCATTGGAATGGCTTTGACTGATTCGCTCGACGAGTTGATCCAGGACAGCGATATCGATCCGCAACTGGCAATGAAAGTTCTTTTGCAAGTATGTATTTTAGGACAAATTGTGTTTTACATTATGTTTATATGACTTTAATCTTGGCCGTATTTACGAGTGTATAAAGTATGATTACAATGTACAAGGAGGGTAATACCACTTCCGAAGGGTGTTAGGCTTGTGCTTGGTTGTAAATTGGTGTTTAGAGAAGTTCACTTTCTATTTATTATTCATATCGGATGTTCAAGTACGGCTAACAATATACGATAATATTATACAAGTTTGATAAGAGTATCACGGAAGCCTTGGAAACAAAAGTTCGTACCAAGGCGACATTTAAGGTAAGACCACATGACCATAACAATAGAATATTTGTAATTTCTTGTGACAAACATGTAAAATATATGTACACACATATAGCAAGGAAGCCTTCACACGTATCGATTCTGTGACGAAGTGTGGACTTTCATCATCAAGAATCCAAATTTCAAATTGGAACATGAACAGATTCATGTTGATAAGATTAAAATTGTAGCCTGTAATGCGAAGAAACCAGGTGATGCAGAACCTGCTAAGAATTGAAATGTAGTGATAGGTAATCTGTCCTCTTTGTTGATTAATAAAAATTCTAAGTGGTAAATAATCAACAGACCATTATAATTTTTTTCAAAGTAACAAAAAAATTTTTCTATTATTGTTTTAATGAAAAATAAATAATCTAAAATCCTTTATCATAGGAACCCGTTACGTAAAATTGGTTTAGTTTAACGACAATTTTTTCGAGTGCTTGCAACCAGATTTCATATTGTTCGTTTATTTTCACTTCATCGTCTCCAAGCTTCTTGAAAAATTCTGCACGATAAGGAACCGCTTTCATAGCAAGCTATATGAATAAATAAAAAATTTATATATCAAATACTTGGTAATGAAAATGAAACTCGATAAACACTGCAAAGTTAAATTATGCTTACTCCAAAGACAGGACGAACTACGAAACTATGATGTTTTTTCAAGGTTAAGCCATATGCTTGTGTGAAGGAAGCTGATAATTCTTCGTCTTTGTTACTCTTTGAACGACGTAAGGCTACAGATGTAAATTCTAAACCTCTGGAAGTTATAAATGGCATCAGTAAAGCCTCCGATTAAACTAACAAAGGTAGATGTTAATCGAACCAACCTTTTTAACCATAATAGCCCTTCAGTGGCTATGCGTTTCTTTTCTCCTTGTTCATTAATAACCAACATTTCAAGTGTTCTACTTTTTTCAAAATCGTGTTCATAACGTTCTCTAATTTTCTGAATAAATCGAATTATGAAAAAAATTCTGATTCACTTAATATATCGCAAATTTTCTAACATTAAGAGTGCATTTACCTTAATATTGCCATTCATGTCGCTCTGAACAACATTGAAAGCCGCAGATCCAAGAAGATCTAAAAAAAAAACAATTGCAAAGTTCTAGTGTGTTTACGTTACTTGGTTCATAGATGTAAATGTAGGGTGTAGCACCTACCAAATAACCTGACCAACCCTTCAGTAGCTTCCAAAAATGCTTCAGTGCCAATACCATCTTCGGTTATTGGTACATCCGCATAATTTTTTCTAAGTGTGTCAAAATAAGTAACTGACATGATAAGAGTCTATGTTGTAAAATGTTTTTTTGATAAAGGAAATAAAATATGAATAAAAGAAAGTAAGTATACGATCAAGGTACGAGTTTTAAAAGTCGAGTGGTGATAAATAAAGGGGCAGTATGTTTACAAGGGAATTATCATATAAATACTGTAAATACTGTAAATGTAAAACAAAAGAATGTTTGTTTGATCCAAAGATACATTTCAAACCTCAATTATGGAAATAAAATTATGCAAACTCTCATTATTCTTGTCTTTTTCTTATCGATCATTGGACCTTTTTCTAAATTTTGTGTTACCAACCCTGTATATTCGAATTCTTTTTTTAGAAATTATAATTAATTTTATTCCAATCAGGTTAACACATTAATATCTAAATATAAAATTAATTAAAAAAAATTTTTTTTTTTTTTTGGAGAAGGCTATTACACTTTATTTTATTATTATAATTTTAGACTTGCAAATACAAGATTTATAACACATTTACAGTATAACATATGTACTGTATATCTCTCTTTGCTAAAAAGAGTTAAATGCAAGGTTTTGCAAATGCAGATCATCCTTTGTGCTTCTTAGCATTACTCAAGAATATAAAAAAAAGAAGTTCAAAACCTATATTATTTCTTGAATGACATCATCTAACTACCTAAAGAAAAGTGATTACCTAATTATATGAAGGCACTGCAGCCACTATATACAAGTTGACCTTCAAGTCCTAACTAGGATTGGCAAGCTTGCTTTCCAAATGTAGTTTGATATATGATAAGCCGAATGTGTTTTACCTTATACTTTATCAGAATAACTTGCTCAATTAGTTAAATAGTTGCTATTCTGGCTTGGACATTTAGCAGAGATTGGCCTTTCATCTGATCACCTAATATTTGACCTTCTCTATTCTTTTAGGATTATGGCAGATTATAGGTTATCCAAGCCTATAGCAGTTGCCTATACCTGTGGCAAGTAGGAAAAGGGATAGCTACTCTTTATAAGAAGCTTTGCATGCATAGCTGAACCATTTAAGTACTTGAATAGAATTTAGCACAAGTATAAGATAGAAAGAGGTGGTGGAAGAATGTTTGGACATGTAATAATAGTTATTAAGGAAAGTTGTCGAACATAATAGAGTTGAAGTTTCTTATAAATGTTGTTATCTAATTTTATACAATGAGCTTATATTGTTGGAGGGATAAGTGAAAAACTTTTGTTGTCATCATTAGCTTGTGTTGCGGAGGTAATTAGAATCTCTGATCTTTATATATTATCCTATTAGGTTTCTTCAATTACCAATATAACACTTGCAAACTAACTTAACTTATTGTTAGTTGCATTGGCATTGGCTATTATATCCTTTTGGATATAGTAAGGCACAACTTCTTGAATAATTTCAGATAATAATAGTTGTATACTGGTTTCTTAGATATATCTAGTTTAACCATCAATAAGTAAACAACATCAGATTTGATAATAATGATTATATCAATCTTTTGAAAAGGGTAAACTGTCCATCCTTTTTCTATAAGACCATGGAAGAGAGAAAGAATCTTGAAGTCCACATCTTGAGAAAAGTTACTATTTCTGAATATGATTTTGAGAAAAGAAAATCAATTGGCCAGGGGATTAATATTATAAAGAGTAGGTTTATAAAAGAAAAAGAGACCTAGGAAAAAAACCTTCAGAAAGAAGAAAAAACCTAACTTCAGCAAGAAAGGGAAAAAAAAAAGATGAAGGAATGAGTTTAATATAAAAAGTATATAGAAAGAAAGAGTAAAAATAAGAAAGATGAAATAAAAAGATATGGAAAAGGAGAAAGAAAAAGGAAAAGCGAAAGAAAAAATAAACAACTCAAAAATTTCCTTTTTAGGAAATTTTCAAGTGCAGAAAGAGGAGTGGGAAAGAGTTTTTTTTTTTTTTAATTAATTAAAAAGGAATTTTTTTACAAAGGATATTAAACATGTAATTTATAATTTTTTTTTTTTTTTGCAAGGCACATCTCAAATTGTGATCTTTATTAATTGTTGATTTAATTTTTACAAAATTAACTAAGTATAAAATTTACAACAATAGGAATACATTGAGATATGTTATTATAAACATTGGCCTATGCTATTTTAAGATAGATACTATATATTCTACAAAACACTAGTTGGAAAAAGTAGAAAGAACTATCTATTTATAAATGGAAGGATAATTCTCTCTATATTAAAGAGCATAGAAAAGAAAAAAATTCAAATTAATTAAAGAGAGTATTACTATAATAATTCTTTCCTATTAGGCGTAACTGATAAATTATTAGTAATAATAATTTCTGTAAATATTGGCATTGGTTTTACCCTAAGCCTGCTGCCACCCTAAATAAGTCACAAACTTAAATTACTCACACTAGTCAAGCATTGGCTGCTTTGTGAGCAAGGCAACACAGAGCACAACTTCATTATTATAGTATTGTTGTGATGTTGCTATAATTGAGATAAATAATTGGCATGTGTAGTTTGTTAGTCGGATTTGAGGTTTTTTGATTAGTGGTAGTCTTTCGACTGTAAAGAGTATTGGTTTCAAGTTTGTGTTTGGACGTGAAACAGAATTGTATAATATTTTCTGGTTTGGATTTGTTTTGGTAATACTACTGGAACTCATGCAGAGCATTGATCTTATACTCTTCCAATCCGGTAGGTTGTTGTATTGTTTTGATTTAATAAGATAAGACGAAGTGTAATTGGTTGTTTGTGAAATGTAGATCTTTAGATAGGGTAAACTAATTTTGGTTTTTTGTGAGTATAAAGGTAATATTGGCAAGGACTGAAAACCAATTAGAAGATTATAATGAATCTGGCACTAGTTGTCATCAGCAGAAAACAAAAACTCTAAAAAAATAAAATGTTGCCTCTTGTAGATAAGATTGTATTTGATTTTATATATGATTTTGGAGTATATTAAGTAATGAAGTTTTTGAATGAGTAAAAAGGTTTGCCTTTGTTTGGAAGTTGCTTACATAGGCTTTACTCAGTAAAGCAAAGGGTTTAATCGAAAAGATTTCTACCCTCCTTAAACATCCATCTCTCTATAGAAAGTTAATAGACCCCATGCACCCTGCAGTAAACTAAAATGAATTCCTCTCCCAGGAAAAGGTTCTTGCTAACTGTTTACTGTCTACCATTCATGTTATTACCAAAAAAGAAAATTTTTTACAAATTGAAGTGTTGTGGGAAAAAGTTTTTTTTTTATGTAATTTATAATTATTAATATTAATATAACAATCTTTATATAATATTTTTTTTTTTTTTCAATGACTGGCGTACATCTTGTTTTATTAGGTTATTTAAATGCAGCATATACAAATTCGTATTTTACAAATTTACCACCACTAATTCCCAAATAGAACTACCTAAGATTCGGATTATCCTTATCTACCAGTCGACTTATTGCCCTCTATTCTTCCTATATTACCAGAACCGGAATCCTGATCACATAG